CAGTAACAGAGGCATATCGCTAGTTAATGCCCACAGGAGAATCCTTGCTTGCAACCTTTTCAAATCCCTGAGCGGTCACCCAACGCAGAGACTTCTCCCGGAAAGCCAAGGTGACTTCAGATGACACCAAGGAACAATCGACATTACCTTCACAGTCTAAAAACTGCAAAACCGGTATCGGGAGATGCGGACCCACCCAATACTAACGAAATTCTTCGATGCAGTCAACCGCAACGTACTCCGGAAAATAAAACTGGAATTGGTATGTCGGGAGTGCTTCACACTAATGTTGTACCAACTTCACGGTGGGATGATGTTTCACGGCACAGACAACGGTAAACTTCTAGTGTTTGCAGTGACCGATGGAATGAAACACGGCTACGTACTGGTTCCCACCCTATGCAATCTTATAATTTTCGCTATGCTGATGGACGACTTCCACGAGGAATGACCTAAAATTGATAATAATCATCGAACCGACGGGAACTTGCACAAAAGCAGCCACATTAAAGCCTTCTTGTTCGTATCGGAATCCAGCGTCCACGACTTACTGCGTACAAATGACTGCAAGCCAAATATCACAATAGAAAAGGATGCGCGGCGAAGTATAGACCTCTTCACCTCCTGTTGATCAAACTTTGGACTTGTCATCAACATGAAGGAAAAAAGGTGGTTACGCACCAACACACGCACAACATGGAATGCAATAAATCTCGGATAAACGTCCATGGAACCCAAGAAATGCCAAGATCGATGACAAATAAGTCAACTGGGTCTCCGAGGCCAGCCAGGCCTTCGGCCAGCAAAAGCCCTCAGTGTGCAACCGTCATAGAATTCAATTCAACACAAAACTCGAGATACAGGGCAGTAGTCCTGACGACGCTGCTCTGCGGAACGGAGACCCAGATCGTCTATGTAAAACAAGCCGAACAACTCAGCCACTTCCACCTCAGATGGCTCCGGGGAATACTGCAACAGAGGTAACAACAGAAGGTCGTCAAACGGAAGTCCCGGAAGGAATTGAAAACCCTGGCATACACACCGTGTTGAGACAAATCCAAATATCAAGGAGCGACCAAGTCATAAGGGTGAACGACTGCAACTGAATTGACAAGCGACGAAGATCGCGCATGAATGAGTACACCCTAGCCGCAAAGCGATAACGCACGATCGCATGTCACCACGCACAGCTTAGAAAATAAGCGGCTTTCCGCTTAGAAAATGCAGATACTCGGCTAAGCTCAAAGGAAAATAGCAAGAGATAAACGAAGTCTGGTAAGCTGAGGTCAATTCGATCAACGATAAGATCGATCTGCCAGCGCATTACCAGGCCGGTTATTACCAGTTCAAGAACAAAGCAAGACTAATAAAAATACGGAATGATTGACCGGTCAGGAATGAACAAGAAAAATCTAAATAAACCACGCACTTCCCGTGTTGTCCACCCCCTATGATGCACTCAGATACGAGTGTTAAAGGCCCCATAAGAAGACTATCCTCCCCGGAGATTGCCTTACTTTCTCATCCCATTACAACACACGAGGTCCGGTTTTTCGCCAAGACTGGAATGGGCATTTTGGCTTAGTAGCCTCTATCAGCCAGCTATACCCAACTCCCTTGAGACTCAAACCCGCAACCCGTTGGTTAGAAGTCCAACACACAAACCGCTGAGCCACGGAATCGTTGTCCTGTCAGTCGCGATAAGGTATGTTGCTGGTATGTAGACTATCCTTTACGTCAAGCAGTTTTGATTCTATATCTTCATCAGACATTAGTAATAACTCAAAACAATCAAGCCGGGGAAGAAAATATGTGAGTCAGGTTTGAAACGTTTATTCAACTATCAATAGAAAAATATAAATGAAAATTTAATTCAATGGTTCTGTTCTTTAGGATTGGGAACTGCTTCGAGGCGGTGGTAGACACAGACACTACACAAATAAAAAAAACGTCGTTTAACTTCACGTCGAATCTCGACTACTGATCATTCCTTACTTGACTAACACTTAATTACTTACTCGTACTTGAGTGATTTCAGGCTGTCGCTTAGCGACCTCAGATATATTATGAAGTGGATCCGACAAAGCAAAGGGAGACCGGAATGGCCTTTTCTGGCTTGTTAGCCGTCATCAGCCAGCCATACCCAATCTCAAGGGTTGGAACCCTGAGATTCGAACCAGGGACCTTTGGTCATTGAATTTAGCAGTCTACCTCGGCCCCACGGGCTCGTTGATTTGTCGGCTGAGATCGGGAATATGATGAATATATGCGTTTCGCCGATCTAGTAAAGAACAATTAAGTTTTGCGTCGCTCAGGAGCTCACAATTAGAGTCCGCCAGGCCGTCACATAGTGACTATGATGATATTATAGTGCCAGTGTCGATAAGAGCCTTAACTGTTCTGCCCACCAATAGGACCTCCGTAGAAAATGGGAGTAAAAGAGTATGGGGTCAGAATACATTTAAATGTGGAAACTACCAGTAATTTGTAGGTTATTCTAGTGCCGGTGGAGTGGTCGTAGTTGCTTCATAGAAGCCTGCTTGTCGCGAGTTGCAATTATATCCCTCTGAATGTGTTGTATGCCGAACTCTTTCTGTGTTAGGACGGTAAGCTTGACGGTTAGAAATCCAATGGCTCGGTTGATTCAGCCACTGTAGTCTCGCTACTCGCTGAAATCTCTCTGCTCGTGCTACAGCATCTTGTATATTGGTTGGGGGCATAACAATGAGTGAGTGGATGAGATCCGGCATATAAAGCCCCTTAATGAAGTGGTGAAGTACAACGGCTTCCTTATCACTGACTGTGAGGGATGGATAGGCCGCATCCACGAGATCCGACAGGTCCTGAGCGAAATTACTGGGTGTTTCGTGTCGTCTACATCGTCTTTTGATCAGTCGGTCAATGGCCTCTCCGATTGGCATTTTCGGCTGAAGCAGATGTTGCAACCGCTCACAAAGGCTATCAAGGGGTGTATTCGACGCCAAATTAGCGTGCAGGGCTCGGCTGAGGTGTTCAGGACTCAGGCACATGAGGAGCATACGACTGTGCCGTTCCTTGGGTACTTCTTCAAGGAAAAACTTAACACATAGTAACCAATTTTGGAATTTCTCTTTCTCATTAAACGGTTTTATACGCGACAGAATAAAGTCCCGTAATGCGTATGTCCACTGACGCTGGATAGGTGGGCCCGTGTATTGCGTTGCCATCCCTACGGCGTCTGAGGCTCCTTGCTGTACAAGCTGTGGAAGTAAAGTGTCCTTTTTATCTTCCGCGTCCCCAACTCGGAGATCTTTTATTTTCAGTAGGGTTGATTCTTTAACTTCATCACACATTGGTAACAGCTCACAGCATTCAAGACGTGGGATATTATATGCCAGTTGTACGTGGGACCTCTATTCAACTTCAAATAGAAACACGAATACGATCATTTTAGACTGACCCCAGCAGAGAACCGAAATGCACAATACATATTCTGGTAGACTCAGGCTGATGAAAATAATGCATACTTGCAAGTCAAAGCAAGTTAACTAATCATAATATAGAATTTAAGTTGGCTTATTAAGGCAATTTGGACTGTAGTTGCAACTGTAAATCTAAAGCGGCCAAATACGTCTAGACTAACGCACACGATTGAACAGATAACCAGGGATAGCTCTCCGGTTAGGATAAACTATAAAAAAAATAGGTAAAAACCACATAAAGCAGACAAGCACTTGGAGGAACATAAGAAGTCGATGTAACGGTATATAACTGGACAAAATCGCAAATGTGGGATATAAAAAATACAGAAGAGTAATGGTGTACAGGTATAAATAATCCACCAAGAGTGGTTCCGTAATATCAATAAAATATCGTTGGAAATTGCAAGGCTGTGGGCATCTGCAAAGCAGGGTTGTAAAAAGCGCCGAAAGGAGACGATACGAACGATGACCGCGCTTTCGTCGATGGAGATAGAAGAACCAGTGATCATCTTCGCAGACATATAGAAACGCTATTTTAATTCAGAATTCCAGCCCAAGTAACTTCAGTCTATAAAAATCTGTCAGAATGATGCTACTTCACAACACCCCACGAATTGGGTTGGACTGTTTGAATGATGTGAAGACTTGGGAGACATATTCAGGACAAATTTGTCTATAAGTGTGCCACTTAAGACATTTGGTTTCCTTTTCCTCAAAACCGACGACTGCCCTCGCATAACATTCATCACAACGCCCGCCCCTTTCACTCTTAATTCCGGAACCTTCCCGCAGTTGTCCACAGCTCTTTATCGCTTACCAATTGTTCAATAGGAAATTCCGCATTACCTCTCCATCAAGAGGGAGAACCCCTCTACGGTAACTCATCTTTTCTTGTACATTTAACTACACTATATATACTCAATTGCTCTCCGCTGCAACCTTATTTTTATTTGTCATCTGGGTGAGTGAAGTGACTAGTTTGACGACACTTCAGTTCATTATGAACAACGAATTATGTCCAGTAATTCATGTTACTATCTGTATAATCCTTAGTCTTCGGTTTACCTCAATCGGTTCAGTATTTCATTATTCCAAATGGCAAGTTATTTTTAAAGGATGACGCGTATACAAATGCATTAAAAAGTTGGCTTGAAGCAGTATCCTGTGATCCAATCGGTCATTCATGAACCCTGTGATTTGAACAATAAATATTTCAAAACTTAACTAAAGAGAGGGGCACAGCAGCTACGTTCCCTGTATACTTTAGTTGGAGGTCATAATTTAGTAAACCCTGGGTTAAGCTTAATACCAGCATCGGTTCGACTCGTCAAAAATGGTTTTGATGGAAGACTGGACAAATTTTTCGGATATTCCCGAAAATATTTTATAACGTTTGCTGTATTTTCTACTTGTCCCGCTTTTTAATAGAATCGTTTTATAGCAGCCAAAAGTCCCATCGAATTATTCAGGATACTCGGTGACGATACGTTCTTGTCATGCCACTGCATTTGGACATAAACATTAACTCAGACCACAATGAAGATAATAGGTACAGGAGAAAACTTTTCTGACAGCAAAATGTTACACATTTGCATAGGCCTAGTGCGCTAAAAAATTACAACAGCAACGTCGTGGGGCCTATTATAGCATAGGTCAGCATTATGCCAGCATATTATCGGCATGTGCATGCAAGGAAAACGTCCACACGTTGGTTGGCTAAGATACTCATATTATGGAATGCTGTCAGGAGTTTCCAGTCTACGTCGGGGCTTTACTACGTCACCGTGAGTCAACGATAGAGTCGGCGAAATAGGACCTTGCTAGTGCGGCGTAAGCGTAGGTGAAATCGATTAGACGTGCACCTGGCTGTCCGCGCGGCCAAAGGGTGTGCGCAGGGAGTTCAGCCAAGAGCGTTACAGAATTTTTCAGACATTGCCGCATCCGCATTGTCTGTCAAGATAGATCTGGAGGTCAAGGGACACAATTATTCAACTATTTACATTTTTCTAACAGAATCAAAGAGATCCTTTAGAGGGCTATCGCGCAACAATTTAATAAGTAGCATCAAGAAACAGAGATTGGAAGG